ATAGTCCAGCGGATACAACACTTGCCTGGCACACAACTCACCTGGGTCCGATTTCCAGCTTCCACTAGGGTCCCCAAGGACTGCCAGGACTCGTTCCTGAGCGCAGAGCCAGCAGTACACCCTGAGCATCACTGGGTGTGCCACCCACCCCCCATAGAATCATCAAGCCCTGGAGAAAGAAAAATGCCCCTCTACACAAGCTCCTCCACGCCTATTGGCAAAGTCAGAGGCAGCCTTGCAGGGACCTGAGCCCTGAAGCACCAGGTCACAAACACCCAGAGGCAGGCAGGAAGTGACAGGCACGACCACGCCCAGGGCAGGGTCAGACACAGGTTTTTGCCTTCAAGAGTCCATTTGTGTATTCTGGAAGCTTCTACCTGTAAGAGTTCATCTGTGTGACGTTCTGAAGGTTCTACCTGTGAGTGCCCGTCTGTGTGACGTTCTGGAAAAGGCAAAGGGAGACCGAGAAGTACCCTCTGGTGCTTGCCAGGGCCTGGGCTGGGGAGAGGAGCTGACCACAAAGGGGGACAGGAGACCTGGGGGAAAGGAGGGGCAGGGGACAGGATGGAGTTGGTGTCGAAGCTGTGATCTTCCTATTTGTCAAAACCAACCACCCAGTAGGCTCAAAAGGGTGAATTTCTCTGCATGTAAAATACAACTCAACTGATCCTTCCCAGGATGGGAGAAGCATGCTGAAAGTAGACTATAGACCAAACACGATTGCCACTCAATGCCTCTTTTGCAAACCACAGGACCCAAAAGGAGAGAGAGAACAGAGGGGAATGCCCTGCCATGGAGGCAGGGTGGGATGGGAGGGATGGGGGGTGGCAGGGATACTGGGATCCGTGGTGGTGGGAAATGGGCACTGGTGGAGGGATGGGTATTTGGATCATTGTATAATTGAAACCCAAGCACAAAATATGTAAGTCTACAACTGTACCTCATGGTGTCTAATAAAAATTTTTTTAAAAAAATACACCTCAACTATGAGGATGATTACAAACAATGACTACTATGAGGTCCATGACGACGATGATGGGGGAAAGAATAGAAATTGCTGGGGAGAAAGGAGGAGAAATTACCACGCCGTAAGGGGAGAGATCGAACCACACTGGGGAGGAGAAATAAACTATCTACAAACCAAATATGAACTTTTTTTTTTATTTAGTTTTGCTTATTGGATCACGCTCCTGCTGCTGCACTCATGAATTACTCCTGAGTGTTCCGGAGACCATACGGGATGCTGAGGACAAAAACCGGGTCAGTGGCATGCAAGGCAAATGCCCTACTCACTGAACTATCACTCCGGCCCCTCAACTTATTCTGAAGTCTTTACACACTAAGATTCAATACCTCAAATGTTGGATGGAAACATTTCTCCCTGGCACTTACACCTCATCACTATGTAATGACATATGGCATAACATACATTACATAGGTTGTCACCTGGACTTCTGGAAGATCTTCCTATTGGCTTAAGCCAAAATATTCACTTCTCCGAACAGAAGGCTGAAAACTGAAAGATAAACATCAAACTCTCCCTGCTGAGGTGGAGAGGGAAATCTGGACCTGGCAAGGCTCTTTCCTTAAATCTCCCTCTTCGTATGGACTGAGCTATGGAATCCTGCCTCTTGTTTTAATTCCAGCAGTAGTTCATTTGCTTTGGGGAAAGAATTCATCATAATCGGTCTGAATTATTTTCATGCTTGCTAGCAGTTGGCAGGATTTGACCAATAGTCATATGGATAATTTGAAATATTTGTTTGTTGTTATCAGCCTAAACAAAATCCATTGTGTTCTGCAGCAAAATAATTCTTTGTGCCTGGGGGGGAAAAATCTGAACCTTCTGTTTTCATGGAAACTCTCTTTACAGAGGATCAAAATGTAAGTCTTAAAAAAAGCACCGAGTAACAACCTAAACACCTAAACACGTAATCACGAAACTATCGAAGATACGAAATGTCAACATGTGGCCCAAAGCATGGAGGCGAGAGAATGCACATCCATCACGGACTTATCTCTTCCTGAGGAACTGCTGAGCACTCAAGCACCTCTCCTTCCTATCCTAACTGCTGAGTGGGGGGAGATGTTTTCCTGGGCTGGAGCGATAGCATAGCGGTAGGGCGTCTGCCTTGCACGCAGCCAACATGGCCGACCCGAGTTCGATTCCTCCGCCCCTCTCGGAGAGCCCGGCAAGCTACCGAGAGTATTCGATATGCCAGACACAGTAACAACAAAGTCTCCAAAGGAGACGTTACTGGGCCCGCTCGAGCAAATCGATGATCAACGGGAGGGCCTTTACTTTACTTTTACTTTACTGGAAACAAAAGTGGTGCTGTATCAGCAGATAGACCACAAAATAAAAAAGACAAAGAAAAAAAAAACTGATGCCTCTGTATTCGAAAAAATGTAAATGTGGAAGGAAAAGACCCCAGCAAAGGCAGAAAGAGCCAGAGGGTTCTGAAGAGATAACAGGAAACAGAAATAAACATACAAGGGTAATGAGGGGGGGGGGGGGGAGAGGGGGAAACCAGGCTATCAAAAGAAAAATAATTTGTAAATAAAAGAAGAAACATGTGGCAAATGTGAAATTTATTGTTTTATATTTGAAGCCACCTGCCATACCCCAACTATTTAAATTACAAATGTCATATTATAAATGAAAAGTTGATCGTGGAGAGAAATGAATGATTAGGCAAAGAGAAAACCTTTTCATTTAAAAATGCCTCATTGGCTCAGAAAGGGAAAAAAAAAACAGCTCTGTGAGAATGTCTTAGTCACAAAAAGCAAAAGGGTTGGAGAGATGGGGCAGTGGGTAGGATGCTTATCTCGCACACAGCTGACCTGGGTTCGATTCTCGGCATCCCATATGGTCTCCAGAGCCTGCCAGGAGCAATCTCAGGGTACAGAGCCATGAGTAACTCCTGAGCACTGCTGGAAACATCAAAAAACATCAAAAAAAAATTAAAACACTCTGGGCCCAGAGAGATAGTACAGCAGATAGGGCGTGTGCCTTGCATGCGGCCAACCCTGGTTCAATTCCCAGCATCCCATAGGGTCCCCCGAGCACCGCCAGGAGTAACCCCGGTGCATCAGTGGGTGTGGCCCAAAAAGAAAAAAAATAATAAAATGAAATAAAATAATCAAAAGCAAAAGCCTTTTTGAAAGAGAAAGACAGTGACATGCAGTCCCCTCCTGACTGTGACCCATGGGGGCAATCGTATGGGTGGACAGTGCTCAGTGAGTCGAGCCTTTGGAGGACAAAACACTCTCCGGAGGAGTGACAGGAGCTGAGCGGGGAGGCGACTCAGTGGCTCACAGCTCCTGCCTTGCCAGCAGGAGATGGAGGACTCGGTCCCCAGTGCCACACGGGCACCTAGCTCCATGCCAATGGCTCTGCAGTTTGTGCCAGCAGCTGCCCCGATTGTGACACCCCAGCGCTGGCTGCAGTTTCCAGCTGCGCCACAGCCAGGCGTGTCTGGGTACTGCCCATAAAGCCCGCACTCCCGGGAGGGCCGCTGCCCAGTGGGCAAACCCCAGCCCGTGTCCACAAGGCCCGCACCCCAGGGAGGGACGCCACCCAGTGGGCAAACCCCAGCCCAGTGTGTCTGAGCAGCAGCAGAGGGGGCAGGGGGCAGAGGGCGAGTGCCCAGACGTCCTGGCCACAGAAGCTAAGAATGCTGCTGTCCACGGGGCGGCAGAGACCAGTACCCAGCAGGTGGGAACTGGCCTGGCACGCAGCAGACCAGGGTGCGATGCCTGGCACCCGATATGTGCCCCCCAAGCCCTGCCAGGAGGGAGCCCTAAACAGTGTGAGCCCTGAGCACAAGGATGGCCAAAAAAAAAAAAAATGAAAGAACCCAAAATTTTTGTTTAAAAGAAACTGAGGCCAGGACGAAGTGCAGAATGCTTCCACGGTAAGCGAGGCCCTGGTCCAACCCCCAGCACCTCGACAGAGGGCTGAGATGTGGTGTCAGTGAGATGGGCGAAGTCCGGGAGTCCTGGCAAGCCAGTGGGAAACCGGAGGAGCGGAGATCTCTGGCCTCGTACAGACACGTATGCAGGTCTAGAGGACGCGCGAGGGCCAACTCCAGGAACGAGTCCAAGGCAGCATCTCAAGCTTGGACCCTACGGCCCTCCCTGGGCTCCCAGAATATCCCCCGGGGGCAGGGGGGAGTGGTCACAGGTATCACAGGTGTCACCCGGTCCCCGTGGCCGGGACGCTCCGGAAACCAACGCTCACGGACACCCGGGCCAGGCGACAGCAGCTGCTGAAGCAGAACGTGAGAGACCACCTCAGCCCACAGCCGCCCTGACCCAGGGCCTCCTCCAGGCGGCCTCCACACTGCTGCCAGAATGATGTGAGACACCAAGGGTGGGGGGTGGACTGCCAACCCCGCTAAATGTCTGTATACACACACCTGCACATGCACACACATATACACATGCGCACACACATAACACGCACACACGCGCAGACTCCCGCCCTCAGTCTCTGCTGGGCCCCCGCTGGCCCTGAGGGTCAGGGCAGAGGGTCCGAGCCCAGCGGCAGGCACGCCCATCCCACCCCCTCACACCGCATCCCTGACACCCCGGCACGGAGGCCCCATGCATCCAGCCGTCACCACGAAGCCGTCAGCACTGCGGCACCAAAGGCTCGTGGGACTCTTTCCCGCAGCGGCTGGGTGACTGTGGTGCCCTGGAGCTGGACAGACCATGGCTGGGCGAGCCCAGCACGTCCTGGGAGACAGCCAACACCAGCGAGGATGCACTGATCCGGACGCCGCATCCTCGCGGGTAGCCGGGGTCACCTCCAGTCACCTTCTGTCACATGTCACAAGCCGCCAAGTCGTTCCCACTCCTCTGTCTGGATGTGTGGGAGCCCCGGGAAGGGCCCGTCATCCCCCGCGGTGATCGAGAGCGGCACCAGCTCCCCACATGCCCCCCAGGCCCGCCGGGCAGCCGGCAGAGAGCACGGCACTTGGGCAGGGGACACGGGCTCAGGGGCGCCTGCGGGCCGGGCGGAAAGAGCTGGCATCATAGACCCACACCGTGTCCACGCCCTCCCCGGCCACCTGGTCCGGCCGCCAGCCCGGGAAGGGGAAGCGGCAGGCAACGACGCGTGCGTCCTCCTCGAGCTCCTGCTCCAGCTTCTGGGCCAGCTGCGGCATCTGCGGGCGAGGACGGGCAGGTCAGTGTGGGCCTGGAGACACCCCACCACACCTGCGAGCAACCCCCCAGGCCGCCTCCCCGTGCCCGTGAGGCCGGCAGCCCCGGTGGCTGACGGGCACGGGGTTCCCACGCTTGGACCGGTACCTGGGGACGCGATTCAGCAGGGAAGGGAGGAGAGGCTGGCGTGAGTCAGTCCCCGGCACCCCACAGGGACCCCCCGGAGCCCCCAAGAGTGACCCCCAAGAGTACAGAGCCAGGCCTGAGCCCTGAGCACCACTGGATATGTATACATATGAAATGTCACCGGTGGAATTATTTCTCTCCTTAAACGCTCCAACCCACTCCGACTCACTGACTGACGTCCCATTTTTAGCCTCTCTGAATCTGACAATTGATAATCTTACAATTATAATTGGTGCTATTTTTTTTCTTCCTTGATTGCAAGGGTACATCTTAAAGTCAATAACATCTACACTCAAAAAAAATAAATGCTGTAACTGGACTATGAAAAATCATCCGCATTCGGATTCACACCTGCTAGGGGCTGGACAGATGGCACGGCCGTGCCCGAGGGGTTCAGCCCCCAGCACCCCCAGGGCGGCCGTGGAGCCCAGGCCTGCTGCCACCCTGCGGGAGGAGGCCCCAAGGATGGCCAACAACCACCTGGGTAACCGGCATTCACACCTTCTTTAAAAATGTTTCCTTGGGGTTGGAGCGATGGTACAGCAGGGAGAACGTTTGCCTTGCACACAGCTGACCCGGGTTCGATCCCCAGCATCCCATATGGTCCCCCAAGCACCATCAGGAGTAATTCCTGAGCACAGAGCCAGGAGGAACCCCTGAGCATCGCCAGGTGTGACCCAAAAAGAAAAAAAAGTGAAAAATAAAAGTGTTTCCAGCACATGCTGGTTATTCATTTCTTGATAGACTCGATGACCTATGGAAAGTAAAACCCTCTTATTTATCACCTAGGTATCATTTTATTACCAATCAATCTATCTGGAGCAGAAAGCTTTATCATTTGCTAGAAGTATTGACATTGTGATTTCATCAGCAAATGAACAGACACAAAAAGAATCTCTCCAGGTTCGCAAAATATATTACCACCTTCACCTCCCAGAAACATTCTCCCATTTTCTTCTGCTGCGGTGGGGGCAGGGACCCCCAGCCGTGCTCAGGGCTCCCGCCTGGCTCTGCCCTCAGAGTTGCTCCTGCCAGGCGGGGCTGGGCCTGCTGAGATGCTAAAGCCCTGGCCCTGACTACAGAGACGGTCTGGACCCCGCCAGGACACTGCAAAAGGGAAGCGACAACGGTCTTGCTGCGCCACCCGGGCCGGCTGCAGAAGCCAGAGGTGCAAGTACCCAGCCAGTCAGACCCCTGCATGCCCCTCCCCTGAGAGATGCAGGCCCCCCATCCTGCTCCTTGCCAGAAGCAGGGCTTGGAGAGAGACCAAGGGGCCGACAGAGCAGTGTGAGGAGGCTGTGGGTGGGAGCCCCAGCACCTCACAATGCCCTGACCCCCAAACCACAGCACCATGGGGGAGGGGAGAGGGGAAGGGAGAGGGAGGGGAGGGGAGGGGCTGGCAGCCCTGGCCTGAGCAGTGCCAGGGGCGGGCCCATTTCAGAAAAATAAAAGGGGGCTCGAGCAACAGTACAGTGGGTAGGTGTTTGCCTTGCACGCAGCTGACCCAGGTTCAATCCCCAGATTCCCACAGGGTCCCCCAGCTCCTCCAGGAGTAACCCCTGAGCATCACTGAGGTGTGACCAAAAAAAGCAAAATAAATTTTTTTAAAAAGGGGGGAATGGGCCCCAGAGCAAGAGTACAGCGGGAAGGCACCATCCCCCACATCCAATATGGTCCCCAGAACTGCCAGGAGTAACCCCTAAGCACAGCTGGCATGGTCCAAGAATCAAAACAATAATAATAATAATAAAGGAAAATACTCCCTGATGTGATTATGGCTTAAGTGAACCAAAATTCTAATTTTTCACAAAAATCCATACCCAGGTAGCAAAGAATAAATTTTACTAAGAATAAAAAACTTCTATTCTTTTTCAGTCCATAATAGGTTCCTTTGACCAAAAAAAAAAAAAAAGTTTTGTTCTCTGAAGGGAAACGATAAAAAGAGTTTTGTTCCCTGCCTGAAAGGAAAATTAAACCTGCAAAGAAGGAGACAATGTGTTTCTCCAAAATACCGGAGTTTTCTTATGGTGATTCTGTTCCTGAAAAGGCTCATCTCCAACATTTTCCATCTATTACTCGTCTCTTTTTTTCCAGTGGACGGTCAGTGAGAGGAGCCTCTGGCCCCTGAGCACTAGCCGAGTCACAGCCCAGACAGGCCAGGTCTCAGAGAGAGAAGCGCGAGGCGTCGCCTCTGCAGCCCGGAGGAGACAGGGCGCCACCCCCCCCCAGCACCAAGGCCCCCCTTGCCTTCATGGGCCCAAGAGCGGCCGCAGCTGCCCGGCCACCCTCTCCCCCGGCGCCCTCCCCAGCCGCCACTCTCAGGGCTCCCCTGACTTCTCGGCTGCCCCCCGCCCCACAGGCTCACCCCCTCTCAGGCATCCACGCCCCTCCCGCCCATCACCACACTCCCCACACAGTGCCTCCTCTCTGCAGAACTGGGCCTGGGCCGACACACAGTGGACATGGGGAGGGGGGAGGAAGGGAGGGAGGGAGAGAGGAAGGGAAGGGAAGGGGAGGGGAAGGGGAGGGAAGGGGAGGGGAGGGAAGGAAAGGGAAGGGGGAAGGAAGGAAGGAAGGAAGGAAGGAAGGAAGGAAGGGAGGGAGGGAGGGAGGGAGGGTGATAAAAGGAAGGAAGGAGGGAAGGAAGGAAGGAAGGAAGGGAGGGAGGGGAAGAGAGAGGAAGGAGGGAGGGAGGAGAGAGGAAGGAAGGGACAAGGGGGAGGGAGGACCGGCTGTCAGCACACCAGAGCCTGCCGAGGTCTCTGAGTCCTCCACTGCCGTGTCTGAAGCGCCGGGGTCGGCCTGAGCCCCTTCACCGACTCAGGGTGCAGCCCTGTGGGGTGTGTTCATGCAGGGAAGCAGGAAGGAAGCCGGGCCCGGCCTCGCTTGGGGGCCGCAGAGCCCCCGACCCCTGCTGCCGACGCCCTGCCCGGGGAGGTGAGGGCTCCACACCGCCAGGCCCCCGGGAGCCTCTCTCATCCTGTTGGGGCTGACCAGCTGCTGCACCAGGTCGGACTCGCCAGCTAGTGCTCACCGAGAGCATCCGGCCAGGGCCTAGGGTTCCCCTTTCCCGTGTGAGAGGGCACGGGCCCCCTGTGGCGGTGCCCCTGGACCCTCTGGCGCCCTGGGTGGGGGCGGGGGCGGGGAGACACCAGCATCCAAGCAGCCTCGGCCCCTACTCAGCGCTCCCCACAACAGGAGAGCTGGGACCCTTCTCCCGCCCGCCCCGCTGGCCCTCCCCCGCGCCTCTGCACCTGCCACCCAGCCTGGGCTGTGACACGGGCTGGCCCTGCCTTAAGGGCTGTGCAGGGCGGACACTCGTCAGAGCAGCAGGATCCCGTCCGGTCAGCGGCTCCACAGACACCGGGCGCCCGGCGAAGGCCACTGCTGCCCCCTGCTGTCCGGCCGCTCCCCAGAGCCCGCCCGCCACAGGGAGACCCAGTCACTGCGGGTCAAAGGAGCATTTCCAGTCAAAGCTCTTAGCCCCCCAGATAAAAGTTAACTGCTACAAAGCAGGAAGGCTGAAGGCCGAAGGAGTGAACCGCCCCCGACCCCACTGGTATGGAATCTGACTGAGAGGCCTGAGCCATCTTGGTTCGGTTTTTAGGCCATACCAGGCAGCACTTGGGATCCCCCTGGAGGGTGTGGCAGGTTTGGTGGATCCACGGCGTGGCCAGGGATCGAACCAGCATGTGAAGGCAGTGGCCTTAACCGTGACCTTAACCCCGGCCTCCACAGCCCCACAGCCTCCCAACCTCCACAGCCTCCACAGCCTCATGGCCTCCACAACCCCATGGCCTCCACAGCCCCACAGCCTCACAGCCTCGATAGCCTCCCGTACCTTAAATGACCAGAGATCATGCCTTTCCCCATCTTTTTATTTTTGTAGACACCCAACTTCCTCCTAATTTCAGATTACTGAAAATTTTAAAAAAGATCCGGAGCAATAATACACAGGAAGGGCTCTTGCCTTGCCTTTGATCAAGGGTCCCCAAGAGCCACCAGGAGCGATCCTGAGTGCAGAACCAGGAGAAAGTCCTGAGCACTGCTGGGTGTGGCCAAAAAAGCAAAAAAAAAAAAAGAATTCTGTCATTTTCGGGAGTATCAAGCAACTCAGAGGGGAAAAAGAAAATTTTTTTAAAGACAGTGCTCTGAAGGTTCAAATAAGAATAAACGTCTCTGGGCCAGAGAGATCGCACCGGAGGTCAAGCGGTTCCCTGGCACGTGGCCGACGTGGGTTTGGTCCCTGTCATCTCACCTGGTCCCCCAGGCCAGCAGGAGTGGTTCCGGCCTGCAGGGTCTGGAGTGACCCCTGAGCATCACAGCCCAGACTCCCCCGCACCCCAGCCCCCAAAATAGAAAAGGGAAAAGAACGTTTAACAGTTGAAACAGCTTATTCAGAAAGCGAGGTATAAATAAGGGAAAAACCAACAAAATGATCCCTCCCCCCCTTCCCTTAATTAAAGCTCGTAACAGTTCTACAGTGGTATTTCCGCAAACAGCCAATTTTGCTGGGCTCCTAATGGCTCCGCTACAGACAGAGGCATGGGGGGATTCGTCTCCCGCAACAGTGCCCACAGCAGAGGCAGAGCGCGGCCAGGGCAGGGCGGGACCCCGGGGCTTGGCTCCCCGACACGGCCACCCTCGGCACGGCTCCCTATAGCCGGGCGCCCACCAGGCACTTCTGAGACTCAGATCTGGATGTCTGAGGCAAAGGCCACAAGCGTGCCCGGGTCACGGGGATGTCCAGTGTGCGGGCAGAGGGGACTCACCATCTGAGGGACCCCGAAGATCACCACATTCGAGTACGGCGAGAAGCTCACCTGGAAGGGAGAAACCCACGGTCAGGCCGGTCAGGCCGTGTGAGTGTGTGTGTGTGTGTGTGTGTGTGGGTGTGTGTGTGTGGTCCTCCCCCCCACCGTTGCCCAGTGAGTGGGCACGTCCCGCCTGGCCCCAGGGGCTCTCAGGGAATTCATACTCCCCTCCCACACCTCACCTCCTCCTGAGGACGCCCTTGGGGGGCCACGCCCTCGGCCACTTGTCATGGAAGCTGGGGGGACAGGTGCAGTACCCCGGCCCAGCTGGTCCGGGTCACCGTGGCCCTACCCCCCCACACACACACACCTGCCGACTCTCCCCACTGTCTCCCACCAGGTCAGCAGGAAGCCGGGGACGTCAGGGCTGCCCACCTTCTGGGCTCTGGCCCTTGCTCTCCTGATGCCTTTCCTGCAGTGGGTGGGTGAAGCAGGCGGAGGGGCGGCGGGGGACGTTGAGGTCGACCCGCGGTGGTCCTCCATCTCCAGCTCCATCCCCACCACGCCCAAGGTCTTGCTCTTGCAGCCGCCCACCTGGCAGCCCCATCTCCCAGGTGCGTCTCCCCACCACGGGCTTCCTTCCCGGCCTAATGCTGAGACCCTCCAGGCCCTCCTTGACCTTCTGCTTCCCCTCCTCTTCCCAAAAAGTCTTTTTTTTTTAAGATGCGCTGAAATAGTCTTTAGTTGGAAAAAAAATGGAGGAAAAGTGCTTCACCAGTCAAAATTCTTATCACCCCATAAAAGTCTTATTTACTCTGTAGAGAGATCGTTCGCAAACATTTGATAGTCTTTAAAAAACCAACACCGCAAAGAAAACTCAAGTGGGCCGTCGCTGATGCCACTGACAGTGAGATTACACGGGGAAACTCTTACTTAAGGAGGAGCGGTTTATGGAGCGTTCCTGGAGCCAGCTGAGCCGGCGCCTGGCGGAACGCAGGCTGGCCTTGCTCTGTGGTGCCTCGCGGGCTCTGGGCTCTCATGGATTGAAGGCCCATGAAAGGGCCACCTCACGCAAGGCTGCGAGGGCGTCTTCCCGGCTGCTCAATGACGCTAGGGACCTCCGATGATTTTTTTTTTTTTGGCATCACACTCAGCGATGTTCAGGGGGTTCCTCCTGGCTCTGCACTCAGGAACTACTCCTGACGGTGCTCGGGGGACCATATGGGATGCTGGGAATCGAACCCAGGTCGGCTGCATGCGAGGCAAACGCCCTTCCCACTGTGCTATCTATCGCCCTAGCCCCATCTCTGACGACCTTTAAGGAAGACGCTTTCCCGTCTGGACTGAACGACTGAACGTCCGTGCACTTAGCACACTGGAGCAGAGGGCGAGACTCTATCAGCACGGGAAGCCTGACAGTCCTGGGTTCACATGCCGACCCGGCACCTTCCAGGGGCACCCACAGGTACAGACAGATGGACCTGGAAGAGTCTCCGGCACCAGAAAGGTGCTGGGGGGGGGGGGGGGGCAACGGTCATGACCTCTCTGCCTCCTGCATCCTTCTCAGACTCTCCAAACTCACAAGGGTGTGCAAGTGTGAGCCCACCCCCTACACACACACACACACACACACACACACACACACACACAGAGTCTCCTACTTACCAAGAATGAGAGGTCATAAGCCAATGCCCAAATTACAAATAAAGATTCCCAAATAACAGTATTATTTTTTTCTTCTCTAAAGCTCATCATTGTGTAAGAAATCAGAATGAGAAGTTTGTTCACTGAACAAAGAATCGCTCTGATGGGGCTGCAGTGAGCACAGCGGGGAGGGTGTTAGCCCTGCATGCAGCTGACCCAGGTTCGCCCCGAGCACCATCAGGAGAGACCCCTGAGCACAAAGCCCGGAGTAAGCCCTGAGCATCGCTGGGTGAGGCAAAAAAAAAAAAATGATAATAATCTGGCTGTGCCCCATTGATCTCCAGGGCTCAGGAGGCCGATCTGAGGGGCTGGGTGGGGGTACTTACCTCCCCGTCCCTTCCTTGTGTGCTCTGGACTCCATGGCAGAGGCCAGCCTTCCCTTGGGAGGACCGCGGTGAAGGGTATCCAGTACCTGTGCCCCCGTGCTGGACCCCCCAAGCCTGTGCCTGCCGTGGTGCAAGGTCACGTCTGTCCTGGAAAGGAGGGTCGCCTGGGAGCCCGACAAAGACCCGTCATTCCCTCGCCGCGATCAGCAAACCGCAAGGTCCCGCTCTGGCCTCACGTACCTTCCAGAGATCGGCCACGTGGAAGGTGGCGGAGTCCTGCACGCCCTCCCGCCAGGCGCGGTACCGGGAGTACCACACCAGCCAGGGGTTCAGCTCGTAGCCCACGGCCGCAAACCCTTCCTTGGCCGCAGCTATCACCTGTGGGAAGAGGAGGCAGCAACTCAGACTTAGCGGAGGGGCCGGCTCGTGGGCAGGGATGAGGAGCGCTCGCCGACTCACGGCCCAGAGTGGCTGGCACCGGCCCCCAACCCTCTTTCCCTGGGAGAAGGCACCGCCCAGGCTGAGAATACACAGGGAACCAGCTGCGGGTGACGTGAAAACCACCTGTCCTCAGGGCTAGAGAGAGATAGCCGTGGGCAGGGCACCGGTCTTGCAAGTGGCACACCCAGCCTCAGTCTCCAGCACCACATGTGGCCCCCTGGTCCCGGCCAGGACTGAGCTCCGAGCATAGAGGCGGGAGTGACCCTGAGCACAGAGTCGGGAGTGAGTCCTGAGCACAGAACCGGGAGTGATCCTGAGCACAGAGCCGGTCGCATGCAAGGCAAAACACCCTCCCGACATTTTCTTTTAAGAAACCAGGGCTAGACGAAAGCTTTGTAACTGCTCTCACTGTGATTCAATAAATAAAATCATAAAATATGGAAAAAAAAAAGTAAGGTGGAGTTCATGCCCAATTCAATCAGCTAATCAGTGGCTGAATAAATAGCAGTACTCCTACATAAATAAAAAAAAGAAAGAAAGAAAGAAGAAAAGAAAAGAATACAGGGCTAGAGCTATAGTACAGCAAGGAGGCGTTTGCCTTGCATGTGGCCAACCCAGGTTCAATCCCTGGCATCCCATAAGGCGCCCCGAGCACTACCAGGAGTAATTCCTGAGTGCCGAGCTCAGGAGTAACCCCTGAGCATCGCTGGGTGTGGCCCAAAAAGGAAAAAAAAAATTGGAGGACAAAATAAATTCCAAATTCATGCTGGAAGTGGGTGACAGTCTGACCAAACAAATACAAAATTAAACCCCTTTAAGAAGCTGTCAGACTTGGGAAATGTCCACATAAGCCTCCTAAGAAGGGGAGACAACGTCAGGGGTTCCTGAGACAGCGCTGGGGGGGGCTGACCCGGGGAGAGGCGTGGAACACAGAGGCCAGAGACCTTACTCTCCTCGGCATCGTCAATCACGGTGCCTTAAAAAAGTAAATAAAGTGAAGAAGTCTACAGGGACAGCCTGTGTTTGCTGTGGGCCACACCAGTGGGGCTCACTCCTTGCTCTGCACTCGGGCATCGCTCCTGGGCTCGAGGGACCTTATGGGATACTGGGGATCGAACCCGGGTCGGCCACATGCAAGGCCAGCGCCCTCCCGGCTGCTGGATCTCCCTGACCCCGGGGGAAATCTTTTTCAAGGCGAGACAGATTTGAAGGATCCTAGCATGCCGAAGCAGCGTTCACTCACAATGCGGCCATCGCCGCTGCCCACGTCCACCAGGGGCCCGCGCCCACGCCGGACCATCCTCAGCACGTTCTCCACCTGCCTCGGGGTGGCGGGCACGAAGGGTAGGCAGATCTTCCGCAGGGCCGGCGTGATGAACGGGGTGGCCACGGCGTACAGGGCCACCAGCGTGCCCCCCAGCACCCCGGGCAGGAGGAGGCCCCAGCGGGGCTTCTGCTCAGAGCTGGCTGGGAGGCGGCCCTTGGTACCTGGGTCACCGCCCACGTCTGCGTCTGAGCCTACAACGGGAAGGGGTAGAACATAGCGTTAGTTGGGCCGGAACAACAGCACAAGGGGGAGGGCGTTTGCCTTGCAGCGGCCAATCCAGGTTTGATGCCCAGCATCCCGCATGGTCCCCTGAGCACCACCAGGAGTAATTCCTGAGTGCAGAGCCAGGAGTCATCCCTGAGCATCGCTGGGTGTGACACAAGAAGCAAAAAGAAAAAAAAGAACACAGTGTCAGTTTCCCAACCGCTCTCACTGAGCACAAACTCACGTGCGGGAGCAATTTAGCTGAAGAGTCTGCAGAGTACTATTTGGGATTCCACGGTGAATTCTGAATTCCATCGACCAAATGAGGGGGTCTGGGAGAAAATTATTTGATGCTAATGGCAGAAAGGTCTTTTCTTTCCAATGTATTGATTTAAAAAAAAAATTGCGATGAGCCATCTTTACAGCACAACGTATTCGAGCCTGCTTGGTATTCTGAGTTCAATGTCCGTTAACACAAACACTAATCAGGATCTCCATATTTTTATGGTTCAGAACTGAGCCTCATCAATAAGCAGGAAAAGGTCTAATCCAATTTCAGACATAGCAATGTAGCCCACATCCAAACTGTCAGGCGCCTGTCATCCGGTTTCGCCAAGACAATTCCTCAGCTATGGAGGGGACATGGTTAAGGGCTGGCTGTCAAAGCAAGAACCTGACGCGAGCACTGTAAGACAAGAGATTCCTTAAGCGCGTCCACTTAGAACAGAAAACATGGTGAGCATCTCGATGTGGCCCAGGTAGGACTAACGCCAACCAAGCCTCCTTTCTGGGCAGGCAGCAGCCCTGGTTTGACCCCTCCACCACAGAGTCACCAAGAAACCCAGGGGTCACTCCTGAGCCTCACAGCGAGGCCCGAATCCCCCCTCCACCAAGAAGGCCTCCGGGATTCTCTCCGACCAGGCCCAGCTCTTCTCTGGCCCTTCACACACACCCCCACCAGCCGCATCCCTGATCCCCCTGCCAGACCGTTGCCCATCTAGACCCAGAGAGCCGGGGTGCGGTGGGACGCGGGGAAGGCCCCCCAAGCTCCTATGTAGGGTTCACACACGCATCCACCCCTGGGGGAAAGGGAGAGACCGGCCCCGTTCTGAGGCAGGCGTCCCACCCCCCACCCTGTGTCCTCTGTCCCCCTGCTGTGCCCACTCCTCCGTGCTTTCCTTCAGAGGCCCGGGAAGGGCGGCAGGCGCGTGTCCCCTTCACCACGCTGGCCAAGGGCCCGCACCACCCCCAGACATGGAACCACAGTCTCTGGGCTCAGGAGCCCCTCGACACTCAGGCGACCCCCACCGGGACTCAGACTCTGCTCCAAGCCAGCGACTGACCACCAGCCACCCCTGCGTTGGGCCACTTTCTTGATCCCAGCGACCCTCCCGCGATGCCAGAGGAAACCAGCCCACGACTTGACTGCCTGACTGACAGGTGCCCCCGACCCCGCCCATCCCTCTGCTCCGCCGGCCGCGGAACAGCCTAGCCACAAGCCCTGCTGGACACTCCCCAATGCCCACGTGCAGTCCAGCTGCACATCCCGAGTCTCGGAACCCACGAGCAGCCGGGCGCTGGGATACTTTATGCTAAAGCTAGGAATGGGGGGTTGGTTGGTTGGTTTTGTTCTATTCTCAGGCCACACCAGTGATGCCCAAGGATTACTCTGGCTCTGCACGCAGGAACTGCTCCTGGTGGTGCTCGGGGGACCATACAGGATGCTGGGAATAGAACCTGGGCTGGCCTCATGCAAGGGAAATGCCCTCCCCACAGGGCTGGGTTTTACCTGCACGGTTCAGACGTAGGGCCTGGGAGGTCCAGAGCTCTCAGGACTGGGGCACAGGATCTGCGTGCAGCATGCCACCAAGTGGGCCCCGAGCACCTCCGGGGAGGGCCCGCAAAACAAACCCGAACCCGCCCTTAACACAGGCCTCAGCTGTGTCTCACTTGCAAGTCTTTCAAAAGCAGAAAGATTTGTACAAGCTTTTGTTTGTTTGTTTTTTGAGGGGGTTGCTCTTGGTTTTTGTTTGGGACCAGACCCAGCAGTGCTCAGGGCTTACTCTTGGCTCTGTGCTGAGGGATCTCTCCTGGCAGGCTCAGGAGATCATACGTGGTGCTGGGGATTGAACTTGGGTCAATCTTCATGCAAAGCAAGAGCGTTATCTGCTGCACCATTGTCTCCAGGGCCCCTGCAGGAGTTTCTGAAGAAGCACCAATGTAAACCCAATACATGAGTATCTTGTGACATCCTTCCAATAAAGTTTTTTTATCAGCAAAAATCAGGCCCTGGATGTTCAAAACTAAAATGAAGACTGTTTCTGACTTCCTGTGTGTGCTCAGAGTTCAGACTCCTCTCCCCTGGTGTGGGCAGGTGACGGAAGCATTGAGTGCTCTTAGCAGCATGGGACCACAGCACGGAAGGGTTAACCACAAGCGCCCTCTGTGGGGCCTGGGGGCTTGAACCAATCCCAGAAGAACCCCCAGTCCAGCGACAAAAAGATCCAGGTGGCTCAGCCTTGCTTCAGTCCTGGCCTCTGACCATGGTCGAAAAATGTGTTCAGGAACACATCTGTGCCAGCTCAGGCTACTGAGGGTACTCAAGGGACATGGGACCTTACCCAAGCTCAAGTCAAAGGAAAAACATGGGGGGGGTGGAGGGGAGAACGGTGAGGCCTGACTAGAGCCATGACCGTGCTCAGTGTGGGGCATTTATTTGAACGACACAATACTGAAGGGCCTTTCCCTGGGTTCTGTGTGCATGGGGGTGGGGGAGAGGGGCTTAGATCTTAGCAACCCCCCTGGCTTCCCACCCGTTTTAAGGCCAGTAGGAGAGTTGGACACACCCTTATGAGCCCCTAACACTGCTTTGGCCACCTAAGAAGTCCGTGTTACGCTACTTTAAGTCACTTCCGCACCACTGATACAAAACAAGCCACGCTAGGAGAAACCTTTTCCCTCCCTGTGTTTGAGCAGGATTAACAACAGCCGCGGTCACGGACTGGACCCATCCCCCACTACATAACAAACGGGATGCGACACATGTGTGGCCAGGTTCGGGTTTGACGAAGGAAGTTCCTGCCGAGCCAGTTGGCACTGAGAGCCAGCTCCCGGTGGCCAGTGCTGGACACCTGTCCCAGCCCAGTGAGCAGGTCTGGGGAGCCAGAGCGAGAGCACAGTGGGAGGGTGTCTGCCTAGTACAAGGCCTGCCTGGGTTCGATCCTGGCATCCCATGGTCCCCTGAGTATGACCAGGAATAACTGCTGAGTACAGAGCCAGGAGTATTGGCCAGGAGTAGCTCACCCCCCCAAAAAAAACTTTTTAATTATTTTTGTTTGGGTTTTCTGGGGGGGTGGTCACACCCAGCAATGCTTAGGGCTGACTCCTGGCTCTGCACTCAGGCATTACTCCTGCGGGGCTCAGGGGACTCTATGAGATGCTGGGGATTGAACCCCAGTCGCCCGCCCTACCCAGTAAAGAATTAACAGGTCGGGAATGAGGTCGAATCATCTCCGCCCAGCACGTCTCGGCCTAGGTCTGCAGCAAGGTGGGAATCACAAGAGGCAGGGGGAGCGCAGGAACACAAGTCAGAGGCCAGTGCTCTGCGGGACAGCAGGGGTCAGCCCGGACCGGCCTGGGCAGGGCTGGGCACCGGGAGGTCCTCGCTGGCTACAGCCCACGGGGTCATTAGGGGGCCCGTGTGCGGCGGGGGACTAGGGGGCCGCCCCGGGGGTCAGCGCTGGAGGGCACGTAATCAGCAGAGGACAGCCCCCTGGGTCAGCATTGGGGGACACGTGTGCAGCAGGGGGAGATCCCGGGGGTCAGCTCGGGCATAAAGGTCCTCGCTGGCCGTTTGGGGGCATGTGTGCATCAGGGGGCAGCCCCAGGGATCAGTGTTGGGGGTCACGTGTGCAGCAGCGGTTACCCCCAGGGATCAGCCTTTGGGTGCATGGGTGCAGCAGGGGTACGTGTGCAGCAGAGGACAGCCCGGGGGTCAGCGTTGGGAGTCACGTGTGCAGCAGGGGTTACCCCCAGGGATCAGCCTTTGGGTACACACGTGCAGCAGGGGGCACGAGTGCTGCTGGGGGCAGCCCAGGAAGCAGCGTTGGGAGTCACGTGTGCAGCAGGGACGCGGCACCCCCAGGGATCCGCCTTTGGGTGCACATGTGCAGCAGGGGACAGCCTGGGGGTCAGCGTTGGGGGCACGTGTGCAGCAGGGATACGGTACCCCAGGGATCTGCCTTTGGGTGCATGTGTGCAGCAGAGGACAGCCCGGGGGGTTAGTGTTGGGAGTCATGTGTGCAGCAGGGGTTACCCCCAGGGATCAGCCTTTGGGTGCATGTGTGCAGCAGGGGTGCGTGTGCAGCAGAGGACAGCCCGGGGGTCAGCGTTGGGAGTCACGTGTGCAGCCGGGGTTACCCCCAGGGATCAGCCTTTGGGTACACACGTGCAGCAGGGGGCACGAGTGCTGCTGGGGGCAGCCCAGGAAGCAGCGTTGGGAGTCACGTGTGCAGCAGGGACGCGGCACCCCCAGGGATCCGCCTTTGGGTGCACATGTGCAGCAGGGGACAGCCCGGGGGTCAGCGTTGAGGGGGCACGTGTGCAGCAGGGGGCGACCCCAGGGTCAGCCCGGAGAGGAAGCTCCTCGCTGGCCGCTGGGGGGCGGGCCGGGGAGCCCAGGTCCGGCGCCGCTACGGTCCCCCCGTGGCCGCCGCTGAGTGACCCCGCCCCACCGGCGCCAACCCACGCTCAGGGGCAGCGGGCGGGCCCGAAGGCGCGCGGCGACGCGAGCCCGAGGCACGCGAGCAACGGCCAACGCCGCCGCACGCCGCGACCCGGCGCCCCCACGGCCCGGCACGCTCACCTCCGCCTCCAGCCATCGCGAGACTTCCGGCCGCTACCCGGAAGCGGAAGTGGGCCGTACCACCGCCCCGGAGCCGGAGGGGGAGGGGAGGGATGCTCGGGGTCGCTGGCTCCCTCGTGGGGACCCCCTGCCCGGAACTGCCCCTTGCGTCGCCTCCAGAAATCAGACTGAACCCCCCTCCCTCCGCTCGGCCGGCAGGGGGTCCAGCGGCCCGCCGGGGGGGCGGGTCTGGAATCTTCCCCACCCCCGCGCTTCCGGCGCGGTTGGGCGTTTCCGGAGGCGACGGCGGGTTCCAGAAGCTCCGGCCGGCGCTAAACGCGGCCCCGCCGCGCCACAGCGGTCGCGCGGGCGGGCAGTGCGCAGGCGCGGGAGGTCGCGGCGTCTCGCGAGAGGCAGGCGGGCGGCGGCGGGCCGGGTCCGAGCGGCAGCAGCATGGCGTCCGTGGGCACCCTCGCCTTCGACGAGTATGGGCGCCCCTTCCTCATCATCAAGGACCAGGACCGCAAGTCCCGGCTCATGGGGCTGGAGGCGCTCAAGGTGCCGCGCGGGGCCGGCCGGGCGGGCGGCCACGTGCTCCGGGCGGGCGGGGCGGGGTCGGGCCCGAGGGGGACACCGGCGGGGCGGGTGGGGGGGTGGTCGGGCCCTGGGGTCGCCGGCGGAGGTTGGGGGGGGTCGGGCCCGAGGGGGACACCGGCGGGGCGGGGGGGGGTGTCGGGCCCTGGGGTCGCCGGCTGGGCGGCTTGGGGGGGGGTCGGGCCGAAGGGGGCGCCCTGCGGGGACACCGGGCGGGCGGGCCCCGGGACGACCCCAGGGGGTCGCCGGGGTGGGCTGTGTGGGGGGCCGGCCCAAGGGGGACAGCAGGCGGCGGGGCCAGAACAGCCTCTCCCGAACCGGGTGGGATCTCTTGACCGTGGCCGGGGGACCCGGGGAAAACCACTAAAGCCCCCCTCCCCCACCCCCACCCCCCACGGGTCCCAACAGGCAGGGCCGGGCCGGGGTCGTGTTGCTTGCAGCGTGGCAGGGGGCAGCGGAGGAGCCCGGGACATTGCGTGTGCGCCGCTGCTGGCCCCTGTCCCGGCACCCACTTCGGGGACCAGGGTTCTGGTCCTGGCCCTGGGCGTGGCCCCTTGGGGTCCGCCCTTGGCACACCCGCTCTGCTGCCTTCTCGGCGTGGGTGCCCCCCCCCCCCCAGCTCCTGACCGCACGGCCACAGCAGCCGCTGGAAGAGTGGCATAAGCTGGCATTGACCGCCCACCACTGCCGGCCCCTCCCTGGGCACGTTGTTCCAGGTGGCGCCCCCTGGCACCCAGAAATTCTTCGGCAGAGCTGGCAGTGAGGCCGCAGAGAGCACAGCACGGGAGGCTAGCGCGGGCCTCACTGCTGACCCCGTGGTCCGGGACTTGGGGCCAGGAGGAGGCCTGAGTGAGATCCACTGGGCGGGCACTTGGTGCCAAAGTTACTCTCTATGCAGGGTGTCTGGCATCCCTGGCCCCTGGCACTCGCGCATCAGAAGCACCCCTGGGTAGCACCTGCCCGTTACTGGCCCTCCAGAATAACCCTGGGCTGACACCCTGCTCGGGGCTCCTGTGGAGTGTGGACTGGCCTTGGCTCCTGGCATGGGCGTGCGTCTGAGCTGCCTCTGTGCATGGCAGAGACCTCCCTGGAGGGGTGCTGTGTGGGCAGTGAAGGAGCCCAGAAGCCCTGGGGGCTGAGGCACGGGCTAGGGGTGTGAGAGGCTCATAGGGAGTGGGGCCTGCCGCGTGGAGGACCAGCCTGAGGGATGCAGCCAGGGGCCGTGGGGGCTTTAGGAGGGATGGAGAGCGGAGGACAGGCCCTGCCAGGTGTGGAGGCGGGCTGGGTGTTCTGCTCCCTGCAGTCACTGGGCAGAGCATCAGGTGTGGTATTGGGGTGCTGTGGGCCCTGGAAGTGGCTCTGTGAGTGTTCTGAGCGTGGGGGTGCCGGGATGAGAGCTCTGAACCCCTCGTGAATGGGAACTGCCCTCCCTGGCCGGAGAGCTAGTGCGGCGCAGGGGGGCCCTTCCCAGCACACGCCAGTCTGGGTCCCCGAGCACTGCTGGGGATGGGCCCAAAACCAAAAAGAACTGCCCGCCCAGCCATGGGCCCTGAGCGTTTGGCACACCTTGGTTGACACCGCTTGTCGCCCCTAGGGAATTGCCGCTTCCAGGGACGGGGAGGTCTGTCGGCGAGAGGGTTTCAGGGCTGGCTGGCAGCTTTAGTGACTCTGTCGTCTGCTTCTCTTTCAGTCCCACATAATGGCAGCCAAGGCGGTCGCGAACACCATGCGGACCTCACTCGGCCCCAACGGTGAGCGTCTCGTTCTGTGTTTATAATGGAGTCTGAATCACACAAATCGTCAGTACAGCTTCTCTGAGGACGGTCGGGGGAGGGGGTTTCCTCTTCCCCACATAGGACCCCAACGCTCCGGGGATTCTGCCTCCTGTGCTGTGCAAGTCTAGGTCCACTTTTCTGCTACTTAGCATTTTACTCTTTCAAATCACAGTTTTCGCTTGGACTTAATGAACATTTAGTGATGCTCCATAATTTTTTCTTCCATTTTTACAGTTTACACCATTTGAGGTTGCTTCCATCGTCTTGCTTTGTTAGCTGGTGTCAAAATGTCTTCACACAGACGGTCTCTGTGTTCAGCTCTTTTATTTATCATAAAGTTTCATAGCACGGTTCTGGGCTAAGAAGTTCTGGCTTTGGCTCTGGTTAGTTGGTAGTGGTCGCCACTGTTTTGGAAGAGCCCATCCTGAATATCGCCCTGTGTCTAGGACTTGATAAAATGATGGTGGACAAGGACGGTGACGTGACCGTGACCAATGACGGGGCCACCATCCTGAGCATGATGGACGTTGATCATCAGATCGCCAAGCTCATGGTCGAGCTGTCCAAGTCCCAAGATGATGAGATTGGAGACGGGACCACGGGAGTTGTCGGTAAGCAGAGGCTGAAGGTCGCCAGACACCTCAAAACTGGGGAACGAAGGAGGGGTCGGGTCAGCACCTGTTGTAGGAGAAAGAAGCTGAGAGGACTCAGCGCCCGCGGGAGCCAGAGCAGTCACCTAGTGGTCAAGTGTCGGCCATGCGGGGGCTGGCCTGAAATGCATCCCCGAGCACCACCAGGTATGGCCCAAAAACTGCATCCCGTGTAAAATATAAACTAGGAGGGTGTGCAGAGATCACTCCTGGCTGGATTCGGGGCTGGGCCAGTTCGTCACGTCACCGTGGAAGGGGGCAGACACCCATCCTGTCTCTAGCCCTGCGAGCAGAAGGCTGTTGGGGACAGACGTGGGTGTGGTTGGGTGTAGCAGGTCCCCTCGCAGGCTTTGGTGTCTGGGCGGGCATGTCTGCACCGAGGGGCTGCACGTTGGGGTTCTTGACTGATTCCCAGACTGGCTGTGCGCAGGTACAGAAAACAAGTGGCGTGGGGGCTGGAGTGATGGCTCCGTGGGTAGGGTGTTTGCCTTGCCCGCGGCCAACCCAGGTTCGATTCCCAGCATCCCATATGGTTTCCTGAGCACCACCAGGGTAATTCCTGAGTGCAGAGTCAGGAGTGACCCCTGTGCATCACCGGGTGTGACCCAGAAAGCCAAAGAAAGCAAGCGGCGTGATGTGTCCTTCTAAGGACACTACTAAGTTAGTGTTCGTGGCACTTTTCCTCCATGTTTACTAACACTTTGAAATATTTTCCAAGTGGGGGAAGATTAATAAAAAGTCTGGTGCTCCCTTTCCTGCAGATGTGACTTGAGTTCTTTTGTTCAAGATTTTCTCAGGCAGGCGCCAGGCCCTGGGTGTCCAGCTGCCTGTGGAGCAGGAGGGGTCTGTGAGGGTCCCGGGGGCGTGTCTGTTCCAGGCGAACACTCGACCTTGGGTTTGGCTGAGCCTTGCCCGCCTCCCTGAGAGTCCCCGCCCTGTCGCCCTGTCTCTGCAGTGTTGGCGGGGGCGCTGCTGGAGGAGGCTGAGCAGCTGCTGGACCGCGGCATCCACCCCATCCGCATCGCCGACGGTTACGAGCAGGCCGCCCGCATCGCCATCGAGCACCTGGACCAGATCAGCGACAGCGTGGTGGTGAACGTGAAGGACACGGAGCCCCTGATCCAGACAGCCAAGACCACGCTCGGCTCCAAAGTGTACGCGCACAGCCTGCGGCGGGGAGGGCAGCTGCCCTTCTGGGTGGACCTTTGTGTGGGGAGCAGACCGGAAGTTGGCCTGCACGGGGTATCTTCAGGTCCGAATGAAGCCTCTTGGTTGCCCAGCGTGCCCCCAGCCAGTGGGCGCACTTTGAGCAGCCAGAGCAGAAGCTGAACACCTGACATGGGGTGGAGCAACAGAAGGGAGAAGGCACTTGCCTTATATGTGGCCAGCCAGGGTTCGATCCTTGGCATCCCCTTTGGTCCGGGTGTGACTCTTGAGTGCAGAGCAGAACTAACCCCTGAGCATCACCAGGTATAAATGCACAGGGGTTACTCGTTACTCCTGGCTCTGCACTCGGGAATTACTCCTGGCGGTGCTCCGGGGACCAAATGGGATGCTGGGAAACAAACCCGGGCCGGCCGCGCGCAAGGAAAACACCCACTGTGCTATCGCTCCAGCCCCTACGTTCTGCTTTATAAGTTATTTCCGTGTGGAACGTTTTAGCTTAGATTTTGTGGTGGGTTTTAACAAGAAAATGCATGTGTCTAAAGCAAGGAAGATGCATTTGAAGGAGTGTGTGTCCCCTCTGCCCTGTCAGAGGGAACCTGGGGCCCTGGCCCTGGTTAGAGTCCCTGGGCCAGAGCCCCTGGAGGGCCACCTCTGACCCTCACGATGCCCAGGTTCTCCCAACGGCACAAACTTGGGAATCACTCCTCTGTACCAGACAAACACCCAGGAGCGTTCGGCCTTCACTGTAGAGAGAAGGCTCACGTGGGTAGAAGCCGTGACTCCCTCAGAGCCCTCAGTTTCCTGTGGAGCCACCTAGAGTTGCATGGGAGTGAACGGTGTGTCCAGGGGTC